ATTCTTTGTTCAAGCTATCGTCACCGGAAAGGGTCCATTGGAGAACCTTGCCGACCATCTTGCAGACCCAGTTAACAACAATGCCTGGGCTTACGCCACAAACTTTGTTCCCGGAAAGTGAAGTTCTTAACTAAGAGTCTCTTCTAGTAATTGATTGATTGATAGCCTGTAAAGCTAGCTATTGTAAATTACCGGAGATTATATATGGATTTTTATTTTGTCTCCAATAATTGTTTAGTTCCATATATTTTTGCACCTTCATTTTAAAACAGCAGAATCAGACTCAACTGCCAGGTTGTATGTAGTTGCATATTAATCTATCAGAAAGGCATGGCCAATCCATATGTCATTACAAAATTTTATCTTGTGCCAATCTCCGATTTAAGTTACGCCATGTTGCTCGGATTCTTAAAAAATATAATAAAGTGCATTTTGGAGGATCCGACAGATGTGTGGCCATATTTTCGGAGAGCCCGACCAACATAAACGCTATGTAACATTTTTTGACTAAGCAATGATTTGATGATGATATATTGCTGACTAAATGGCTGATGAAGGCATTCTAGTTTTTCAAGATCAATTTTCCGAAGGAAGAAGGCCAACTAATTTTGAATTGCTACAGTATGTGCCAATATATGGTCTGTGCAGCTCAGAATGAATTTCACGTTGAGCTCCCTCCAAAGATCAAGTTAAGCAGGTGGAGGTAGAGGTTCGGATACAGGTACTCAAATAGTGTATTTGTGTTAAGAAGTTCATTAAATATATGCAAATATTAAATTTAGAACCCGGCTAGTTATTAATACTTGAAATTGTTATTTTAAAATCCAGAACCCATAAGGTTTGAAATGCTCGCGCCGTCTCTGTTGAAATATTATACGGATGGAGCTAGTAGGGGGAAATCGAGGGACAAGTTCATATGCTTTGGCGGAGCCAGGATCTTCATCAAGGGGAGTCAAAATATAAAGAAACAAACCCACCAAGAAGTCAAGGGGTGTCATTATATAGTATATATATATATATATATTTTAAAAATCATTACCAAGCTATACAATGTAATTTTCCGGCGAAGGGGTGTCGATTGACACCCCTTTGGTGCATGTAGCTACGCCACTGGCTTTATGTATACGTGATATGTTTTTGGCTATGTTACGTGGGCTCTCCAAAACAGCTGTCGCATCCTCACAAAATATACTACTTTTGGAGGATCCAACACGCACTCATCTACATTTCTGAAGAGTCCGAGCAACATATGTTTTTGGCGATTTAATTCATGCAAGAGAAAAAAAGTCATGAATGTACCAATGTTGAAGCAGAAGCTATAAATGACGCGATGTCCTTTTGTGTTGCCAGATATATGCCTCAGGTGATCATTGAAACTGATTCATTATTATTGAAAAACATTCCGGTGGATATATTTGCAGCTACATAGAACAGTTCAGCTTGTTCTTATGAGGAGAAGAGTGCACTATCTGCATCCCTGGAGTTGAGACTTCAATCCACATATGTTAGGACTTTGAAGACAAACATTGGGTGTTCATGGAACATATTCTATGTAACTTAAAAAGGAGCCTTTGGACGACTCTTCATATCACATCAAATCCAGTGTTTCATAAAAAATAAAAAAAATATTATGGTTGACTATCATTTCTTTTGTTAAAAGATCCATGAGCACTTGATTTCCACTGCCTACATGAAGATAGGAGACTAATTAACTAGTTGTTCACTGGCATTAACCGAAACTCGAGTTGATTATTTTTGTAATAAGCTGAGCGCGATCATTATCGATGGGCCAGCTTGAGGGAGACTGCTACAGATGAACATAAATGTCCTTTGGTATAATGTACATAGTAGCAATTATGTTTAGGGGCGGAGCCAGAGACCAAGTTATGGGTTCGGCCGAACCCAGTAAATTTGGTTCAAACTTTGTATTCGTTTTTAAGAAACCCATTTAATATGTAAAAATTATTAATTTAGCACCTAATAACTTAAATAGACTAGAATCTTGAACCCATAAACTTTACTTTTTCTCGTATATTAGTACATGCTGATTTTGAAGAATTTTTTTTGAGGGATTGTGATTGGCTTGCAATTTCATAGGTCCATAGGAAATGGCCTAATGACCAATACTCATTGCTTCGTCATGACTTATCCTTTTTTTCGTGTATATTAATACATGTTTATTTTGTAGAATTTTCTTGACAGACTCTAATTGGCCTGAAATTTTATAGGTCCAACGAAAATGACCTAGTGACCAATACTAATTCCTACGCTATGACTTTCGATTTTATTTCCGGCGTATCGAGATCATGCAACACGAATTTATGATTATATTGACTTTTTTTTGTGTAATAGTGCATGCTAATTTTATAAAAAAAATTGACATATTATGATTGGCCTAAAATTTTATAGGTCCATAGAAAGCGGCCTAGTGAACAATACTCATCACTTCGCCATGACTTTCTAGTTCATTTTATGCCGTTCGAGGTCATGCAATGAATTTGTAACTATATCTACTTTTTTGTGTGTATTAGCACATGTTGATTTTATAGAATTTTTTTGACGGACTCTAATTGGCCTGCAATTTTGTAGGTCCATAGAAAATGGCCTAATAACCAATACTTATTATTTATCCATGACTTTCGGCTTAACTTTTTGGTGTTTAGGGATCATACAACATGAATATATGACTATATTCACTTTTTTCGTATGTATTAGTACATGCCGATTTAAAAAAATTCTTTAACGAACTATGATTGAACTGAAATTTCGTAGGTCGCTAGGAAATGACGTACTGACCACTACTCATTGCTTCGCCACGCCATCTGCATGAATTCGGAAAACTGGTCTCGAATCTCCTAAAATTTTACGGGCCCATAAAAATAACCTAATGAATAATAGTCATCGTTTCGCCATGACCTTTCCTCATTTTTTGGCGTTTACGGTCATAAAAAGTGAATTAAGGACGATTCTCAGATTTTCATATGCTAGTCCATGCCATCTGCATGAATTCGGGCGACCGATCCTAAATCTCCTAAAAATATTTGGGCCCATAAAAAATAACCTAATGAATAACAATCATTTCTTCGCCATGAACGTTCATTATTTTTTGGCATTTTAGGGTCATAAAATAGGAATTCAAGATGATTCCCAGATTTTCGTGTGCTAAAGTTTACGCCATCTACATGAATTCGGGCGCATTATCCCGAATCGTCTAAAATTTTGCTGGCCCATACAAAATGACCTAATGAACAATAATCAACGCTTCATCATGAACATTCATCTTTTTTGGCATTTTAGGGGCATAAAACAGGAATTCAGGACGATTCCCAGATTTTTGTGTGTTATAATCTACGCCATCTACATGAATTCGAGCGACCGACCCCGAATCTCCTAAAATTTTGCGGGCCCATAACAAATGACCTAATGAACAATAGTAATCGCTTCTCCATGACCGTTCCTTTTGGCATTTTAGGGCCATAAAAAAGGAATTCAGGATGATTCCCAGATTTTCGTGTACTATAGTCCACGTTATTAGCATGAATTCTGACGACCGACCCCGAATCTTCTAAAATTTTGCAGGCCTATAAAAAAATGACCTAATGAACAATATTCATCACTTCGACATGACCGTTCCTCATTTTTTGGCGTTTTAGGACAATAAAACACGAATTCATGACGATTCCTAGATTTTTGTGTGATAGTCTACGCCATCTACATGAATTTGGGCGACCGACTCCGATCTCTTAAAATTTTGCGGGCCCATAAAAATGACCTAATGATCGCTTAGTCATGATCGTTCCTCGTTTTTGGCATTTTAGGGCCATAAAATAGGAATTCAGGACGATTCTCAGATTTTCGTGTTTATAATCCACGCCATCTGCATGAATACCGGCACCGATTCTCCTCAAATTTTACGATCCTATAAAAAAAAAGATCTAATGAACAATAGTCATCTCTTCCCCATGACCATTCCTCAATTTTTGACGTTTTAGGGTCATAAAACAAGAATTCAAAACGATTCACATATTTTCGTGTGCTATATAGTCCACACTATCTGCATGAATTGGGGCAACTTGCCCCAAATCTCCTAAAATTTTGCGGGCCTATAAAAAATGACCTAATGAACAATTATCATCACTTTTCTATGACCCTTCCTCATTTTTTAACATTTTAGGGCTATAAAACAGGAATTCAGGACGACTTCTAGATTTTTATGTATTGTAGCCCACACCATCTGCATGAATTCGGTAATCTCCTAAAATTTTGCGGGCCCATAAAAAATGACCTAATGAACAATAGTCATTGCTTCGCCATGATTGTTCCTTATTTTATGGCATTTTAGGGCCATAAAATAAGAATTCAATACGATTCCCAGAGTCACTGCCTCGTCATGAACGCTACTCATTTTTTGGCGTTTTAGGACCATACAACTGGAATTCGGCCTGATTCTCAGATTTTGGTGTGTTATAGCCCACGCCTCCTGCATGGGCCCGGGTGTCCGGACCCGGATCGCCTAAAATTTTGCCGGCCTATCAAAGATGACTTAAGAAATAATAGTCACTGCCTCACCATGACCGTTACTCATTTTTTGACATTTTAGGGCCAAAAAACTAAAATCCCGCCCGATTTCCAGATTTTCATGTCCACGCCATCTGCATGAATTCAGGCGACCAGCTCCTAATCTCCTAAAATTTTGAAGGCCCATAAAAAATGACCTAATGAATAGTACTCATTGCATCGCCATGACCGTTCCTCATTTTTTGGCGCATTAGGTCCATAAAACATAAATTCAAGACGATTCCTAGATTTTCGTGTGCTATATCCATGCCATATGGATGAATTCGGGCGATTCACTCCAAATCTCCTAAAACTTTTTGGGCCCATCAAAGGTGACCTAATGAACAATAGTCATTGATTCTCCATGACCGTTCCTCATTTTTGGAATTTTTCGGCAATAAAGAAGGAATTGAGGACGATTCCCAGATTTTCATGTGATATAGTCCACGCAATCTGCATAAATTCGAGTGACCGACCCCGAATCTCTTAAAATTTAGCAGGCCCATAAAAATTACCTAATGAACAATAATCATCGTTTCACCATGACCATTCCTTGTTTTTTTGCCTTTTAGGGTCATAAAACGGGAATTCTATTTTCGTGTGCTATAGTCCACGCTATCTTCATGAATTCATGCGTCCGATCCCGAATCTCCCAAAATTTTATGGGCCTATTAAAAATAACCTAATGAACAATAATCATCGCTTCACCATGATCGTTCCTCATTTTTTGGACTTTTAAGGCCATAAAATGGAATTCAGGATGATTCCCAAAATTTCGTGTGATATAGTCCACGCAATCA